AATATTTTTTTAATATAATACCGGTTTGGGTCTGGCCCGGTTATCGGAACCGGTTACAAGTACCTTTAACCGAGCCTTAGTATTTTTGATATAACCGGGACCGATCCTGATTGTTACTCTTTCAGCCCATGACCGATTTGGGCCCAACCTGGAACCGGTTTTTGGCCATGTCTAGTTTCATGACTCCTTTATAACCAAAAAAACATTACATTCCACAAATTTCTCTTGCTTTGAAGTTGGTTCGTGTGTCTGTCTCTTCCTTCCAAATGCAGGTTTGAATCTTGTATCTAGCATTTCGAGTTTCTCAACTCTTAATTTCGGGAACGTAGCTTACAAAAGGCAAGGAAATAACCAACACATTAATAATGATTTTGTGAGAATTATCTGTAATTTGTTTTATAGTTATATTATGCCATCATTTGAAAGAAATTAGATCGATCTCTAAATGAAATGAAATGATAGTTAAAAAATAAAATAAATAATGTAATTGAGTATCATGTTTGGTTGGTATTTAAAATGAAATTGAATTTTTATATAAATTTGTAATATTGGTGTATAATTTATCTCTATTTTAAACATGTTTTTTAATTTTTTAGAAAAATAAAACATATATATATGATTATAATATAAGAAAAATTACATATGAAATCTCACTAAAACTTGAGAATAAAATTATGATATATATTAACCTAATTACAAAATGTTAAAGTTTTTTCTAAAGCTATCACTACAAAGGTTAGCGTCTGCTGAGAATGAGAGTTACAGTGAGAAAGATAAGAATGGATTTTCAACTTGGATCAATTCCAATTGAAGAGTTCCACTAGATCAACAATAATGAGAAGCACCAATCAGTTCCCTTTTAAAACGCAATTTGTGAGTTGGTATGAGACAAAAACTTGAAAATAAAATTATGATGTATATTAACCTTGGTTCTGGTTTTTATACTGCTGATAACTCTCATTTTTTAGAGTTATTTTTTATTTAATTCTTCCATTTTTGCATATATTAAATACTCAATTTCATTGTTTTTTCCCGTTTATTCTAAAAAGTTTAAAAAGATGATGAAACACAGGATGAGAATTTACTCCGAAAACTTGCACTTTCTGGCAAGTACTGTGGGAAGTTTACAAATTTTTGGATAAGCTTCAACTTTTTGAAGGATGTTTTCTTGATGATCTTTATAAAATATCTCCTACAGTTGGAGCTGCCTTGAAAAGCTGTATTTTGGAATTTAAAAAGAATGTTGATCATCCATTTGAAGCAGTAGTAGTTGAAGTCTCTCTTCTCTTCTTCTCTTAAGTTAAGTTTAGCATTGATTTTCTTGTATTAAGGTTGTAATTGTAATCTGGTGCCCACATTCTCACCACTGTGGCAACGGACTTTAGTTTTATTTTAATGAAAGTTATATTTCAGTCTTATTTATTGTCTTATATTATGTTTCCTATGTCTAGTATGAGATGATTTCTTATATAGGTGTGAGTGTGAGTTTAACTTACGATTTTATGCAATAATTGGGTGTTTTTTACTTTTTACCACTTCGCAGCTTGGTCATTTAAGACGGGACTAGAACTGAAAGTGGATAAGCCGATCATTTTGAAGTGTTAATATTAGATTTTTGACCCAGAGATAGACGGATACGAAATACGGCTTAAGTGATGCACCAAGAACTTGATAAAGTCTTTGATAATTACGTAGAGATAACGAATTTTGTATTAGTTAAGGATTGAACATTGGAGATTTATATTACAAAGAGATTTGAGTATAAATTTTATTTCTTTTTCTGTATAGCTAAATCAACAAGTTTCGAAGTGGTGAGAGTGGGAACTTTGTGGGGACTGTTTATAAATCTTCACTTTCGAGAGATTGAAATTTATACAAACATCTCATAAGTTTCTGACATTTATATTGTTGATTTTATCTTAAGGAACACTTACACCAATGCCCATCTTTTATTTTATAAGTCTATTTCGTTTATTTTGTATTTTAAAGCTTGTTATCAATAAAAATCCAACTTTTATTCACAAACCGAAACATGCTCAAAAAGTTCATGAAAGTCTCCGTTTCTCAGTAGTTCAATTCCCGTGGAAACGATCTCGGTACTTTACCACTCTATTACTTGCAAACGATCATTAGTGTTGACATGCACTTGCATCGCCATCGTGGGAACTTTGTGCCCAGTGTGTGAACACGAACGATCCTAAGCCACCTACTGCCAAAATAAAATATTTTAAAATAAACCTCACTTTGGATTCACGATGAATGAAGATAAACAACAACAAATTATTCAATCAAGAATCACAGAATCAACTTCTTTCTTCCCCTCTCGGTTTCTGTTTTGCTTCAGACTCAAGAACACACATAGAAACTGATTTTTTTCATTTTCTTACTTCTCAGTTCACCACACTCAATGAGATATAACAAATCTCTCATAATAAGCATAAACAAACATATAAGGCAGTCGGGTTTAAAATTAGTTTAAGCACATAATCAAAATAACTCCCTTAACTTTACGTCTTTAATAAAAAACAACCCCAAACTTTATAATTGATAAACCAGTTCTCTCTCTCTCTCTCTCTCACACACACACACACACATATATATATATATATATATTGATTGTGTGTATATGTGCACATGTATACGATGTGCAGTTAAATCATGGTTTCATAATTTAAAGTTACAGACCGCACCGTATAATATAATTAAGAAATGCAAATCACATATCAGCTATCACACCACAAAAGTTCTAAAAACATGTAATGTGTGCGGTTTGTACGATTTAATAAAACACCCTTCAAGTAAATATCAAAATCCATCAAATACCATTCTGGTTCAAAATTTTTAATTAGAGTTTAAAATAAAATCATTATTGTTATTTCATAAATCTTCATCATCTTTCTCTTAGACTTCAACCACCAATCACCGCCACCTGCCACCAGTCACCACCGTGGCAAACCAAAAGAAATAAATAATAATAATAAAATGGGAGGAAAAGGAAATTAAAGATGGAGGATGGAAAGAGGGAATCTACATGTGAGTGATGGATGAATCTTTGCATGTGAAAACCTTTTCCACTTCCAGACTTCCTTCTTGCATGGGCTTCCGTGAACGCCGTTATTCTTTTCCTATTTATTAATAAATATCTTTAATAAATTACGATTTTCATTTTTGACAATTGTTCTAAAATAGAAAACTAAAAATTAAAATCTTTAAAATAAATTATAATCAATTCTTACATATTTTATATTTTAGAGATTTTATTATTAATTATATTATTTAAATATTTTATAATTTTATGATCTAAATATACTTTTACTAAATATATATAAAATAATATTAATTCAATTATGAATAAAAAACTCATTTCTTTCACTTATTTTTGGATGAATAAAATGATATTAATTCGACCATACATTTAGATAACAACGTTGTGGATAAATCAATTCATAAATTTACTTTCAACTCCATTTTATAACTGTATCTAAATAATAAATCAAATTGAAATTCTATTAGTTAAATTATTTTATTATTTAATTTTTTTTAGGTTTGTATTAATTAACACTAGAAGGGTACTCGCACAATGCAACGAGATATATCTCAATTTTAATATTATTTTTTTGTCTCAGTCAATGTTATAATATGGTTTTATGTGGTTTTGAGAAAACGATAATGTTTTTATTTTTGAATAAAATATAAATACAAAGATATATAATAATAACTTGAAAAAAAAAATATTGATATTGACACCAAACTAACTATTTAAATTTTCTCTTTTTTGTATATTTTGTTAATTCATTTTTTTTAATTTTTGGTTTAATAATATAAATTTTTGTAAAGATAATAATTAAATATTTTGTTAGAATTCAATGATTATCCTAATTATATTTAGATTTTTTATATTTAAAATGAGATGTTTATCCTCTATTTGATTATGTTTATCTGTAATTAGTTACACGAATTCAAACATGAAGCTTTAATAAGTTGTACTTACATACAATTTACTTGTAATCTTGAATTTTAAGTAATATGCATCAATAAACAGTACTTCATGCATAAAAAATGATTTTTAAGAGTTTTTGTCAAATGTATTATAATATAGTATATATATCATATTATTAGTAATTTATTTTTAAATATATTATGTAACATTAAGATTTACTAATTTCTTAACATGTTGCTTTTTATCATTTTATATTTTCCAAGTAACTTATCAGCTAGTTTACGAAACATAACCTTAAAATAGCTATTGAAACTTACAATTTTCAAATTCCTATTTTAGAGCAGCTGTTAAAGATGCTTTTATATCACAATAAGCTCAATAACTTATTTGTTCAGCCATTAGACGGTGTTTGTTTTTTTTTCTCTAATTTTAAGCAATGACTGAATCAGATAAACAACCATATGATTATCTATACTAAATCATCCTAATCTAAACAGATGTTAATAGAAGAAAAGAAAGAGAGAGGAAAAACATAAGAGAACCAACAGCAATACATGATGAGAAACATTAATCATAAGGATCGAATTTCAATATCAATTTCATACAAGATTTAAAAGAACACATAAAAACTTACTTGGTGTGAATCCTGTATTTGAAGGAGTAGAAGAAGATGATGCCATTTGATGTTGATGATTCTTTAAGGATATACGGAATTAGGATGGAGCGATCAAAGAATCCATTAGCGATGTTGATTTTCCATGCTCTCTGTAAGCGGCGATAAAGAGAGAGCGTAGAATGTAAGTGAGCGATTGATTCTAACCGTATATCAAAAAGAAACCGTTCAACCCCTTATGTAATTGTTATGTCACCCATATGATATATTCATAATTCAATATATCTATGATTGCCATTATGACATATTTAGTCCCTATATTTATGTAATGTTAACATATTATGGATATGGCCCATATCCATAATATGTTAACATTACATAAGTATAGGGACTAAATATGTCATAATGACAATCATAGATATATTGAATTATGAATATATCCTTAATTTTATAAAACTTTACATAAATGGTCCAAGGACACCAAATAGAAATTATATTCCAACAATACACACATGCAATTCAAACTAGTAATTTTGTTGACATTAAGCACTTTTGGTACATCTAGTATCACCCCAACACAACACCCAAACTTTTAACCAAGAATAGTCAAGACCAAAACTTCACGAATGCGGTAATGAAAGCCTTGATGAATGTCACAAGTCGGTGAGTTTCTCGGCCATTCGATTTCTTTGATGCCGCTTCCCATGACTGACTGCTTAAAGAAACAAGTTAAACCATACGTTTTAAATTAGAATCAACACAACTACACAAGGAGAAAAATCATATGCACATACAGCAATCACCACTGCAAAAGATGGTCCCAACACATATATATAGAGGGAAATTCAAATGAGAACAGTAACTAAATAAGAGAACGCGAAAAAGACCAAATCAAGTGCAAAATCACATGTGATTTTACACTAATAGTCAACGCAAGGGTGTGACCTCATGTCTCAGCCAAAGTCGCGTGAATCACATGTGAATTTACAAGTGATTTTAGTGTAAAAATCACATGTGATTCGACGGTTTTTTTATTCTCTTATTTGGTTACTATTCTCGTACGAACATAACTCTCTCTCTCTATATATATATATAGAGAGAGAGAGAGAGGTTTAGGGGGAAACCCCAAAAAAACGAAAAATTGAGGAACACCCTAATAACCACTTATCTGTACGGTATACACATGTCCATACAAGTAAAGAAAGTTGTTTTCTGGTTTTTATGCACATGTGCCTAGTGGAGAAATTACGTGTATGCACGTGTACATACCATACATATATGGTTATTACGGTGTTCCTTAGTTTTTCATTTTTTTGTGGTTTTCCTCTGAACCTATATATATATATATATATATATATATATATATATATATATATATGTGTGTGTGTGTGTGTGTGTGTGTGTGTTTTTAGGTACTTACAGATTAATTCTGTTCAAGGTTGCATTGGTTCTCTTTTGGGGATTGCCACCAGGCTGGTCACTAGATTTCTTCAAATTTGAACTTCTTTCATCAAGTATCGACTGTTGTACGGAAACGGATGAAGTTTTACTGTGGAGATTCTGAGTGTTGGCATCGTTTATGGTCTGGTAAGAAGCAGAAGCACAATGATGTAAATCGTCTTCAATCAATGATATTACACATCAAGAGAAGTAATAGCCAGAAGGTAAGGTAACATCTATGAATTAGATTTTATTTATGATAACATCCATAGTAACACCATCCCGTGATAATCCAAATCTAAAGGAACACCAATGATGTCAGTGAGTTACAAGTTCGATCAACAAGGGATGCTCGCATGGATTTCTTGTCAAGAAAATTGAGTACGCAACCAGCACAGCATAGCATCCATTTTCAAGGGTAATGATATCATAGGCGAACACAAAAAAATTCAAGTAGTGGCACAATTTGACTATGAAAAGATACCTATTTTTTTTTCACAATATTAGTATAGATTTGTTAGTTGCTCCTTGTCCTTACATAGAAAAGACCCATGTCCGAGTCAGGTCTACATATACTTTAAAAAACACAAGAGGTATATAAAGAACACCAAAAATTTAAGCTACAAAATGAAAATTTTGACAACTGTGGGACTCAGAACCTGGGCCTTTGGTACAAAGGCAGGAGCGTTTACCATCTTAGCCATTAAAGTCTTGTGTTAACATTTCAGTTTCAAAAACTATATGGTGGCACCCAACAAAACAATACAGTTGCATCCTTCAGAAACGTAATTTTTTTCCCTTACGACCGAACCATGAAGAGGTGACCCCTGCCACCATATCTATCCAAATGGGTCTGCCCCTGAATGATATGAAAATTTAACCAGAAAAGATACCCAAAAAATCATAGTTAAGGGATATAGATAGAAGGAACTCACTTTTTCTTCAGCAGGCGAAGTCCCTTCAAGTTTAATGTCTGTGTGGTCATTAACATGAAGCACACCATTTTCTTTAGTTGACAGAATGTTTTGAGCCTTCTGACTTGCCAATGGTGAGTGCATTTCATTGCTAACAAGGTGTTCGTTTTTTTCAGTTGCCAGTTTCCTATTCTCGGTATCCTTTTCTTCCAAACCATCATCCAGTACTTCTCTCTCACTTAATTTTTTATCCAAGTTTTGGATTGTGCTAGTCACAGGTTCTAAAGAAGAAGTCCCTACTTCTACGTCTTCTAATAGTAGATGTTTTTGAGTTTGATTTGCTACTAATTCATTTACTTCATCAACATGTTCCCCCATGCTTCCTTCCACTAGTAATTCTGTATTCTTCATTTTTTCTACTGGTTCATTATTCGCTGTTCCATGAGTTGTTTCTATCACAACCTCTGATCTCCAACTCATGCTATATTCTAGCTCTTTTCCTCCATTTTTCTGCACCTTGTTACCTCTTCTCTCCAGAGATTCTATATGTGTCTGTTCTTCACCATTGTCATTTGTCACAGCTGCATGAGTTGTATCTACAATATGACCTCCTGATATCTGACTTGTTTCAACATATATTACTTCTTCATCACTTTTATGTTCTTCCTCCCCTCTTTCCGCTAGCAACTCTGTAAATCCTGGATCGTTAGCTTCTTCATTCCTCTGTGTTTTATTCGTGCTCCCGTCAACGAGGTTGTCACTGTCAAGATTTCCTTGATGAAGTTCAGGAATGCTACTTGTATTCAGAATTTGTTCACTTTTAGACTCATACCTCAGTAGAGTTTGAGCGTCTGCTAGAGGTACATGTACATGGTGATCAACAGACATGGAACCCAATGGGTGGTGTTCCAAGAAGCTATCCAGGTTCTTCATATTCTTGTCTCCTGGAGGTGACTTGGGTGGGCCCAGCACTCGATTCTCTTGAATTATCTCCCGGACTATTTCACGCACCGTGTAAAAGGACCCACCGACCTCCTTGCGTGTGAGATTGAGAGATGGGAAATCTCCATCGTTTAATTTCTGATATCTGCAAGAACCGTATCTATTATTGATTTCTGGTGTCTACAAGAACCAAACTTGAAGAACAGCATATTTCAGGCAATGCTTTTTGACACAACTGACAACTGAAGGAACCTAGTTCATGACATAACAATGAAACATGGCCTCACGAAGGAAACATTATGATCAGTAAACAGATGAAAGAGTGAATTTTTGTCCTTGTAGAATTCTCATAACCAAGAATTCACAAAGAACTTTTAACACTGTATAGTAACTGACTTTTTATACTTTTTCTTTGGTTTCAGGCAGTAAATGTTTATTATGTGCAGACAGTGCAGTTAGAAGTTCGGTTATTACTTGCTAGATTCATTAAAGCTAATGACAGTTTGTTCACCATTGCTCTTGACGAAATCTTTTAAATCACAGTAGAACCACGATCTGGGCCAAAACCAAGCCAAACTGACATGAATTGGTTAGCCTAAGGCACTGCATATTTTAGATTGGTTTTTAGGATTTCTACTAAACCTGATTCTTGTGGTTTAAACCCCAAACTGACTCAAGGCAAACCACGATCATGTGCAGTAGATAATAGGTAGGACATAGAAGCAAAAGCTAAAATTTCTGGAGCTACTGAGATGATTATTAGATCATAAGCACTATACTTCATGTTCTACAAGCATATTTAGAGGTTCCACAGTCGAGTGATATTTACAAGAAAAAGACAACCTAATCAGGTACCACAATCAATATGCAAGAATATAATAGAAAGCAAAAGATGCAATCCCTTATTTTTTTTATCTAAATACCATTCATCAGTGCAACTTGATTCACAAGTTCAGGAATGTGTATCATTTTATTGTTAATCAAGCCAAAAAACAGAGATGTGAATACACCTTCTAATAAAAGTCTCCACCATCCCCTTCCTTTCCTCTTTTGATCGCCGAATTCCTGATTTCTTCCCTTCAAAAGAATCATCGAACTTTGCTAAAGCAAATGTTTGCCCAAGCCAACCTCCTCTAGCCACGTGCATTGGATCAGGAAAGAGTTGATCAACAACCAGTGTACTCGCAAAAATCTACAGAGTGGGGTTCAATGACATATTCTTAACATTGTGACTTAACAAACAAGAGAAAATAGCTGAACTTGATATATGATAAAAGGATTAAAGAACTGCATGCTTTTACTAACATGGATAACCTAAGAATTTGTTTTAGATGTAAGGATTTGGATTAACTCTGAGGTAAACCCTGATAAATCTAGTTTGTCTTTAGTAACATAACACTCATTCCTATAGAAAACTAGGAACATCTTTTGGACTTCAAAAATGAATCTGCAATGTTCTAAAATTAAATAACAATGCAACCATTCGATTAAGAGATCCAACTAGCGCTACCAACCATAGAAAGGTTAATACTCCCTCTCATGAACGTCAAAAATATTTCAATTTAGGGATCTCATATGAAATTGCAATATTTCTTTTTCAGTAATTTTAATCTAAAATTATCTATTTGCATACGGTCATCCTTATAAGTTATTGATTCTAATACTTTGGTCCACAAGATTCCTTATTTTTCCATCATTGAGTATTTTAGACAATTTATTAATTGTGAAGCTCCTCTATGAAACTACGTGCTAAGTTAAAAATTGCATTCTTCTTGACACGGAGAGAATATTGATACCATCTTCATTGTTTCAAAATTGAAAGGAATTCATACCATTTTTTAATCGTAAGACATCAAAAAGAAGATTGACATCCCAAAAGGTCAAAAATGTATCTCTCTACAATCAATATGAACTAAAAAAAATCTAATTATCATAAGCAACGCAGTAAGACCATGATTAGAAAACAAGATAAGGGTTATGAAAGTGAGCACGAAAAGGCAAACATACAAGACGTAAAACAGTGCACATATCTAGACTACTCATCTCACATCGGGAGAAACACATGTATACTTATACACATATGTATATAATACATTAATACTCATGCCAATTAGTTTTGCGTCAGAACCCTATATGCCTAATACTCATCCAGTTGCTCAGAAAGGCAGATAAATGGATACTTCAGTTCGCAAAGCGTATACTCGAATGTAATTTTACTTAATTTTAAAAGCTTGCTTAGCCAGATTTAATCAATTGATGTACATTTTCACCAATAAAGCTGCAATTAACAGTGAAAATCATTCCTAATTAACATATATCTTTCAATGCGGGAAGAACAAAAAAAAAAATTAATCAAACATCGGAGCTAACTCAAAATGCAAATCGAGACTAAAAACAATATCATCAGCGAGTTCAGACTTCAGACTTCAGACTTCCACATACATTTGTGTGTGTGTGTATGTATAAATATGAATTACCTGTAATTGTATCTCAGATTCAGGGGGTGGACGAAAGGGTGAGAGAGATTAAGGGTTTTAGGAGCGAAATGTACCAGAAACCCTACACAGGTTGAGAGAGCGGATCCTTAAAAGTAAAAGTGAAAGTGAAAGGGAGTGTTCCTGAACCGGAGGACCCGACATCCTCCAAAATTCTTTAATAAGTTACAAAAATGCCCCTATGGTTTTAAGGAAAACTCTCTCGATTTTCGTCACTTTCTTTTTATTACAGATTTCGTCCCTGACCTTAACTGCCGTTGCGTTATTCTGTTAAGTGGCTTCCCGTTCCCCTCACATAGAGGTATTTTGGTCATATTCTATTTTATTTATAATATGTTTTTTTTATTAACCTGAATATCCAACACGCTATGCGAGCCGACTAATCTCAGAACGATCACCTGCTTTGCACGTAGCCCGGAGTAACCGCATTTGAACCTCCGTGGCCACAAGAGGATTTTTGTTCCTTCTTAGATTTGAACCTGGAACCTCCTGACACTTTGACCTTTGGAGTCAAACTCAAACCAATCAGACACCACCCTTGAGTCGCCACCCCTCCCCTTCACGATCTATTTCCTTCTTTGGCTTGTAGATGTGGATCTAGAAAAAAATTTGAGTGTTGGTACCGTTTGATTATGAAAAACGAAGCTATAAATATTTTTTTCTAAAATATCGTTGGTCTATTTTAATTCATACTTTTCATATGTAAGATCTTGTATTTGAGTATTTTAATGCAATTTTTCTTCCGTAAACATGATAAACTTAAAATTAACTACTAAAAACTAAGAAAATGTTTGAAACAGGATCCCAACCCGTGCTTGTGATGGGAGAAAAGTCGTCAAAACCAACTATGAAGACAAACTTATGTTATTATTATAATTTCAAAAAAAAAAATATATATATATATATATATATATATATATATATACGGTGGCACCCAACATTACAATACGGTTGCATCTTTCACGAGCCTAGATTTTTTAGCTTACGACAGAGGAACTTAGCAGTGTGTGTTTCACTTTATACACCTTGATTTTCGCGGCCTCATTGTTTACCACCTGAAAAATCGCCCATTTGCGGGCAACTCCCACACCCAATCAACTAGGACGATCGTCAATGGGTCTCCTCCCATAACACACTTGAAGCAGCGCCACCAGCACCCCATAGTTGGTCATACGATAGCGGAAGAGACATGGGAGTGAAAGTGTCCAAATTGCCATCATGTGCAAGGCACGTGGGACACTTGAATGGAATAATTTAACAGCTCTTAGGGTCAGTGTAACATCCGTAACAAAATACAAACTATTGAGGCCACAACCTGATCCGTAAAATACAAACTAAAATCATGTGTAAAATCAAATATGATTCATATGATTTTGGCCGCAACCTAAGATCACAGGCCACATCGTGGGCACACACTTGCGTTGACCGTTTATGTAAAATCATATGTGATTTTGTGTATGATTTAACAGTTTTCATGTTCCTTTATTTGGTTATTGTTCTCGTTTGAACCTTCCTCCACTGAAGTAACCCCGACATAGCAAACAAACGACTTTCACCACACAAAATAGGAAGTTGTAACATCATTTCAACTTACATTAATCCATAAATACAAACTCCATCATCTTTTTTATTAAGTGGTAAATAAATAGTTACGTACGACTAAACAAACAAGTCTGTTTCTACTTACGTAAAACGTCGTATCATCAATCAAGCACACGCAACAATTTACCCACTGGAAACTCGGAAAAATGGTCCAAAAATTGCAGTTGCGCGTATATACATCGAGGAAAAGAAAAAGAATACACTTAAAACTTTTAACCTAAATAACCAAAATAATTTCCACAAAAAGAATGTCTGTTTGTCTGTCTGTTACTCACCCATAATCTCCATACTTGTAACTCTCTATTTCTTCCTTCTCTTTGTACCGTATATACCGTAAAAACCACGACACAGACGATTCGAATAACGGTCGGCCATCCCTCCATCGTTCGCCGAGAAGCCGATCCCCATTCTCCGCAAAACTGATTCCGATTCACCAGGACGGACACCCAGCAACTCGAGTTAATCGTTTCATAGTTAGAATTTCGACCGAAAATTTTAAACTATCCTGCAAGTGTCTTCTGTTTGTATCCAAACTTTAACCTTTCCAGTATTTTCTCCTTTTGTTTTCTCTTCTTGTCCATTTTTATCCTATATCTTTCTTCCCTTTCTCTTTCATATATACCTTGCCAATGTACTTCTCCGGTTCTTGGCCATAACCACGTTTCATATGGATGGTCACCATCATCTGCAGCCTCGGCTAAATCTTCGTCCATGCTCTTCAATAAAGTCGCATTGAAATACTTGGCCCACATGAATCTTTTACGTTCTTCTACAGGGTGTTGTTCTTCCAGTGATCCTGAACTTGGATTGATGTAAACCATGGTCCGAGCACTATGGTAAGCCCATACGTTCACCAACAGTTCTAATATCCGACAATAGCAATGTTGCTTCTGTTTTGATAAAAGAAAATGATATTTAGTATAATTAGACCCCCCGATAGAATGCCGGAACTAGAGGTATATAGGGTATATCTTAATTACCTCACTCACGGAAGATCCTAACAAGCATTCGGTGGCTGTATTTGCATTCATGTGCAAACTGTCGAGAGAATCAGCAAACATCCTGTGTGATCAAAATGGATTAGGTTTAAAGACTAGTCGACAAGATCATTTGGATTCTTTTCATTTATTCGGTTTGAAGACTATTTTGCTTCTCAAATAAGGTAAGGCCATGTATGGCAATCACAAGCTAGCTTATTTTGAGCTTATTTAAAAATAAAAATAATAACCATTTGGTTAGACATAAGCTAGCTTTTTGAAATGCTACTCGAAGTAGCATTTCAAATTTTTAACCATCTCCAGGAGTTCTTTTTTTCCACTTTCTTCCAATTATATGCCCCTAATTATTGTTTATTGTTACTAATTACTAATTATTTTGAACTATTATAAACCATATTGATTATTATCATCATTATTATTATTTAATAGATTTAGTTAGCCGAAAATCAAATACAACAATTCAAAATGTTATTGTAAGTTATATAAATAATAAACTTATATTTCTTCTGTTTCATAAACAATAAACCTTTGATAACTGGTTTTAATAAAATATTTACAATTTAATGAAATATCCTTTTAAAGAATTATTACTAATTAAGATATTTATGACTGACAAACTTCGCTTCTATTAACGGTTATTCAAAATCATTAACTAATGTGACAAATTTTCTAAAACTCAATTTTTGTTACACTAGTTGATTATTTTAGAAAGTTCATTATATTCTCTAAATCACTCGAAAACCGTTTATTTTTGTTATCACTTATTTTAATATGATGAAATGTACTAGTGATTTATTTTAATTAAATTATGTAATGTTAAAATTAAGTAATTTTTCAACATGTACTTTTAGATCATTTTACATTATCTCTGGCTTATTAGCTATATAGCTAGTTTTTCTGCCAACAGCTAGCTTATAAGCTAGTTGCCCAACATAGCCTAAATAAGACTAGCAATAACATTCTTACTTCTTCTTGCACCATATAAACAGGACCCATAAGATTTTATATATATATAAAGAGAGAGGTTCAAACGAGAGCAATAACCAAATAAAAGAACATGAAAACGGACAAATCACATGCAAAATCACATATGATTTTACACTAATGGTCAAAGCAAGAGAGTGCAGGCGACGTGGTCTTGGTGTAAAATCACATGTGATTCGAGCGTTTTCTTATTTTCTTATTTGGTTACTGTTCTCGTATGAACCTGACTCTCTCTCTCTCTCTCTAAATATATATATAGGGGTGGTTTCAAATACAAACCATAATCAATGCTTATATTAGGAAACAATTGAGATATTTATGGACAATTATCATGATTCATTGATTATTATTTAGATATTATATGGAAGATGATAAAGTTTATTCATTATGATCATGACTTTAGATTAGGAAACAAAATGAAATCATATATCTATTGGACTAGATTAACGGCTAAGATATGGTTTGCACAGTTTGTTGGAATTAATGGGTTTGTAAAATAAACCTCCCCAGCTCCCCTATATATATATATATATATATGTATATATATATATATGTGTATATATGTATATATATATGTATATATATATATGTATATATATGTGTATATATAT